CATGTGGTGCTATTATCACTTTAAGCTAGGGCGGGGGTCCTCAGTAGGTAGGAAGCCTTTGTATGAGATGGTAAAATAACTATTTGGAAATTAAAATTGGAAACAAAGGGGGAGTAGCTGAAACCTGGCCCCACAGTAAGATGCTGTGGGACAGACAGGTTGTTCTCTGGACAAATGCTCATTTTTGCATCACTATGGTACTAGAGGAAATGAAAAAAAAAGATTTTGATCTAAACCTTAGTATTTTGTCACATACAAAAATCAACTCTAAATGGATTGTGGATTTAAATATAAATCCTAAAACTATAACACTATGAAAGAAAGGATAGGAGAAAGTTGCCACAGACTCAGCAAATTAACGGACACATTTGCATATTTGAACCTTGTCAACATTTTCACCTAACAGGTACTGCTAGTGGCAAATCAGAGCAGCACCTGGGACATCATTTGTTTTTTGAGTCCAAAAAACTTAGAGGCATGACTTAGAGGCTGTCACTGGACTGGAAGCTTATTTGAGTGACATAAAAAGCAAATATTCAGGGATAGTAAAAATGTTCAACTAGCAGTAATGTTTAACATTCAATCTAGTGCAAAATACAACACAAGAGTTTCTTTGTTTTGCAAGGCAACAAATATCACATACCGCTCTAAGGCATTCCCCCATTAGCCACCTGATTGTGGAGAACAGGGCCTGGGTCATGTGCCTTTGGTCACAGTAGGGATATTAGCAGTTTAAAATAGTGGATGAAAGAAAATGACAATATAGTCCGGCCCATGTGGCACAGTGGTTGAGTGTCAACCTATGAATCAGGGGGTTGTGTTTTGCTTCCCCAGTGGGGGTGTGTGTGCAGGAGGCAGCTGATCAGATCCTCATTATTGATATTTTTTTTCTCTCTCCTCTTTTTCTCTCTGAAATCAATGAAAATATATTTTTGAAAAACAAGAAAATGGCAATATATAACCTTGATATAAGCAAGAACCATAATGGAATTGTGGAATTATTTTTTATAAAATTAGAGTTGGTAGTGCGTAATCTACCTAAGTAGGGTAATGTAAGAAAGGCTTAAAAATGTTGCTCAACTTTTAAACAGTAATTCCAAACTATTTTTATTTAACATTTGGTATCAGGAACAGGGATAGTATTCTGGACATACACCTTCCACCACATTTTTTTAAAATAAGGGCACTGTATATTTTCATCAAAAATGTGTATTCATAGATGGTAGCTTAGCCTTTGTCCAAAAAAACCATGCAGGTAGTATTTACATTAAGAGGATTGCCCCAGAAGAAACACCAAATCCATAATGTACCCCCTTCAAAAGTAAAGAATATTTAATTTTAAGGTAAACTGTAGCATCAGTATCTTCTGATAGTTTAGATATGATTAATGTTCTGGACCTCCATGGTTTCCACCTACCATGCAAATGTCTGGTTTTTCTTAACACGGTAGTCTTTTCTCCATAAGTTACTTAATAAGAGTTTATACATCTTAATTGCTTTTTTTGAAAATATCACCAGGCAGTTCAGAATAGCTCATTTATTGATAATATTGTGACATTCAAGGACCTTAAAATTGGCTGATGATAACAATAAGGGATAGGGCAGACTTTCATAACGGAATGTATGGGATTGTCATTTTTACTCCATCTTGACCCATTTGAAAATGTTTTCTACTCAAGCTATATATTTTAGATAAACATAGATATAGATAGCACTACTTAGAAAAAAGAAACACTTCTTTTCAGCTCAGAATTCATTGGGGGCTAAATGTTCATCTATACACACTTTATACATAACATGTACAGACTTCGTAACCAAGTGCCACACAACTAGGGCACGCATACATATTTGTTACCTTGGTTGTCAAAGGTTACTTGTCAACTCTGCATATTTTTGTGCCAAGGAGATACTATCAACATTATTTTTTGCATAATGTGCAAGTATTATATGGCCACAGAGTGTAATACAAATTAGTGGCAAAGTGCTGAGGGGAAGAATCCATGACAGATTCAGATGCGCAAGGTTGAATATTACCCGTAAACTACCTGACTCTGCTAAGGTCTTCGCAGCACGGAGCGCTATGTCATGCCCCGCTTTTAAAGTCTCTGATAAACTTGGACACAATGAAGCTTGTTCAAGGAATTTTACCGTAGCCGCCAGCAGTCGGACTGGTAGGAGCGATATGTGGCATTGGGGGAGCCATGGGGAAGATCACCCAGACAAATCTTTTCCAAGACATGCCATCTTTTCTGAAAACAATTTTACTCACTCCATCATGACCATGATTGTTTACTGACATGTGCTATAATTTTTTTTCTCTCTTGGGGTTGGGGCTGTGGGGAGGGCATTAAAATGTCATATTAGTGGAATTAGGGCTGCCAAGGTTAAGGGGCCTAAGTAAGAATTTTGTTAGCATTGTTGATTCTTACACTCATCGATTCCTTGAGAAAATTATTGCATAAGTTAGGTTATTGGGAATGGGAAAATCATATTTGCAACCCAATTTCTCCTTTCCCACCTCCCCCCCCCCCAAAAAAAAAAAAAAATTAAATGTCATACCTATGACACCTGTTAAGTGGACTGGTAAAAAAAAAAAAAAAAAAGTCTCTGTTCTAAATTTTCTTTAACATCTGAAAAAAGAGGAAGATAGAGTTTTCTTAAAAACCTCATAGCAACCTAGTTTCTATTTGTTTTACTCATTTTTAAGACATGAAATCTTATGTCTATTCTAATTCAAATTCCTTTTGCTCAAATTCTTTCCTAAGCTCTAGGGAGCAGGAATGTTTAAAGGTTTCCTCACTTAATAACTGAAAACTTTTCAATCAATTTTAGGTCTGCAGCAAACCAGCTGCCTTCACAGTAGTTCAGCTGTGTTTTAAAAGCAAATAGTACTTATAAGGACAACTGAATTCGGAGTTTTCCATGATCCCATTTCAGTTTCCTAAGTAAAAAGCTCAACACTAAAGCAACCCAGTTGACCACCAATGAGTTTATCAGGGCCTTGGGCACTGGCAGGAAAAGAATGGGCCATTTCAGAACCACGTTTTAAGGAATTTGGATACTCCGATTAACATTGAGGAAACCTTAAAAAAAAAAAAAAAGTGAATAGAAAAAGAAAATAATAAAAAATGGCAACACTGGCCTCCAACCTTCCCATGACCATCAGCACACCCTAATTTTGTATCTTGAAAATTGTGTTTAAATTCCAGGTGTGTATTTCATATTTTCTTCATGAACAGAGTTAAACTTATATTCCATTTATACCTTTTAAAAATACATTGCTTATTAAGGAATATTTATACAAAAGGTCCCTTTCTCCTTACTTATTTTGTTATTAATGGCCTTTAAAAATATGCATACATTAGCTTAAAAAAAGCATTGCTATAAGTGAAGTGCTGTGGCATAAATGCAGATGAATCCACACTTTCTAAGTACATAACTGCTAGGGGCTGGATTAATGTGTTTTTGTTTTGTTTTGTTTTTTCTTTTGCCAGCGAGTCTTTAGACTATCCTGCTCTGTTTATTAAGCAAAATGTTAACCCCAAACAGGTTATGATCTTCATAGTTAAACTTTAAAAAGGAGCATGTGTTTGTGATTTAAATTTACAGTGTTCCGAGTGACTTTTAAGATTCAGTAAAATATCATCAAGAAAGTATGAACATGCACCTACCCGAGAGGACCATCTTTGACTCTGGGAAGTTACTCCACATAAGCAGACAAACCCTACCATGTCATACCATACAAACAATTTTAATTGTGTAGTTACAGTCAATAACCACTCCTATTCAGAATATTTCTGCATAAAGAAAATTGTGATACACGTATAAAAACAGCCAGCTGTAACAAAATAGCTGGTGTTTTCATAGCCATGAACTCATAAAAAAAAGAAATACACCTTTATACAGAAATTTTATACAGATGTAGCTTTAAAATTGATTGTAAACCAAAGGAAGACACATTGCAAACATCAATTATTTTCACATTAATTGCATAATTTTCTAAGGTGATCTATTAGTTTTATTTACCTAAGCTTATTTGCATGATAGTAAAAATTGCATACAACAATAAGAGTGAAGCTTATAGTATGAATTGCTTGGATAACATAGAGCACTTTTTATAGGCAACTGTGTAAAGCACATTTTCTCTATTTAAAACTTTTAAGACACTTTGTTTTACTGCCCATCAAAATACATTTATAAATAGAAAAAGAATCAGTATGGTAACAAGAGAAGCAATATTACATTTAACGGAAACTTCCAAAAAATTAATTACAACATGATGCTGCAGGATCTACAAATAAATAATGAGGACTAAATTGTGTTTCACATTTTCTTTTCATTTAAAAAAAAATATGTAACAATGAGAAAGAAAAAAAAATTACAGTGAACTTTTTATTTCCAAAATAAAAACAAGTTTGAATTACGGCAGTGCCATATAATACAAGGCATTTGTTGGCATATGTCATCTTTAAACTGCATTCCACAGTCTATAGTTCTTTTGTAACATACAATAGAGTAACAAACTCTTTTTTTTTTCTTTTCTCTCTCTTTTAAAATAAGGGGCGAGTTTCCAAAGATCAGTGTGTGGAGTGTTACAGAAATAACGCAAGGAAGGAAATCATAATCACAGAAGTTATAATGCTTGTTTGAGGCTCCAGAATAATCATCATAATTTTTCTTTTCTTTTTTTTAAAAAAAAAATCACTGGTATCATGCTGACGGGGTGGGGGGTACACACCTCGGTGCATCTCGAGAACACAAATCTGAACTTTTCATACCAAACAATCCTCAATGCTTCACCTGGGGCTGCCGAGCAGTTTGCAAACCAGAGGAAAACGTGTTAGTGCAGTCTGTCTGATCCCTTCTCCACTTTGTGCAAGTTTCTGAAGATTCATTGGCCAAACCCGCGAGGGTTTTCTGGGCGCATGACAGGTGGACTTTTCACTGCGTTGAGTCGGTACCAGCGGCGATGCCGAGGGAAAAGCAATAGTTCGCGCATCTCAGTCTTTCAAGTCGGCGTGAAGGTCCGTGTTCCCCTCCGCCGCCAGCTCGTCCTCCAGCTTCACCGCGAACAGGGTGCTGGCGGTCTTGTCCTGCGCGCCGCCGCCGCCCTCCTCCAGATCCTTCAGCAGCTCCTCCTCCTTGTACTCGGCCACGTCCACCTCGAGGCCCGCGTGGTCCTTCAGCTTGCCGTGGTGCTTGAGATAGTACCGCTGGTTCTGGAAGAACTTGGTGATGGTGAACTGGGGCAGGTCCAGCTGCGCGGACAGAGTCTGGATGGCCTCCTCGTCCGGGTACAGGCCCACGTCCTGGATGAAGCTCTGCAGGATGCCCAGCGCCTCCACCGAGATCTTGGTGCGTGGCCGCGGCTTCTGGCGGGCGTCGTCCTCGGCCTCGGCCGGGGCGGCCACGGGGGGCTGCCGCGGGGGGAGCCGGGGCCCGGCCGGCGGCTGCGCCTGCGGCTGCGGGGGCGGCGGCGCGGGCTGCGGGGGCTGCGGCTGCGGCTGCTGCGGAGGAGGAACAGGCGGAGGTCATGGCTGGGGGATGATGCGGAGTTCTGGCTTCCCGATAGGGACAAAGGCTCGGGCCCAGAGGCAGGCCAGCGCAATGACCCACAGCATGCAGAAATATATCAAAAGGATAGTGACTAGGAAGGAAGGACTGGGGTTTGGGGGTGCTACTGGGGGGTCCTCCTTCTCATAGGTCGCCGGAGCCTCCCTAACCCTGATTTTAACCCTGGCTCACAGGCGTGCAAACTCAGCGCTCTGAAAATGGGAGCCAGAAACGTTACCAGAAGTTTGCACGTCAAGCAAAGCAAGTTGTGATGTAAATAATGAAAGATTCCACAGGGAGATGGAGAAGGGTTTTGAAGGCATTTTAGAGGGGGGTGGGCGCACAGAGCCATGAAAGCAATGTGTTTTGCCCTATGGCATCCGGCAGGTATAACAGGGAGCAAGGTTCGAAAGTTGTATCTACATCTGCTACCAACACGGCTAGTCCTCCCCTCTTCCTCAGCTTTCTCTCTCAGGAGTCCAAAGGGTTTTTGAGATGGTCACAAACACCAGTGTGTGAAATTCCTACCAGATAGTCCTGATGTCATACACAGTGTCTTACCAAATGGTACTAGGCTGACACTGCACGTTTTTGTTTTTTTTTCTTACTGATAAAGGTCCAATCTGCTGTTAGCAAGCTGTTTTGTCCATGGTGAACTCGGATGTGATTAGGGTTGAAATTCAGTATACACGGACACTTTTACATGATTAGTGCCTGCATGTGTGCTGTGATATGTGTACGTAACTGAACTGGCTACCATAACTCCTATCAGCAAAGCAAATCAACCCGAGCGAGCAGCAAAATATCAGAACATTCATACAGTGCCTACCCAGTTCCTTCTATCCCCTAAGAAGCAATTTTTTAAAACACGATGTACATTTTCAAACAAGTCCTACTTTTATTACTTAATGCATATCTTCCTCTCTTTTCTGTTTTCCCTAAACAGTTTTTCAGGCTTTCGGGGTTATTTTAGTGCCTGATATCCTAAGGGATTCTCTTTTTCAATTTATCTTGAATACATACTCAAGGATATTTTTTCCCCCCTAGTGGATGGATAACCCTGTTATTGTTTTTAGCTATCTATTTTCCCCCCAGTCACACTCAGAAATAATGCAGGTGGTTCGCCAAAGAGAGCAGCATTTTAGGACTCTGGAAGGCGATGGCATTTTTCCTAAAAGGGGAAAGCCAAAAACAGTTCCCTTTCGATTTAACAAAAATAAGTTATACAGCTAAGTTCAATGTCAATATCCCTCCTAAGCAACTGAGGCCCTAAGAGCAGCACCTAGGAAATACCTGGCCCCAGAGATGTCCAACCTAAATTCTCAGAGGGAGTTCCCTCAGTCAGGTGAATGGAGACAAGTCCCCTGACATGACAGCTCAGTGCAAGGCTGAGGCTGTGGGCACAGCATTCTCAGCCCACCGCCGTGGCCAGTGTCCCCCTTAAAAGTGTGACCGTCCTGACCAAGGGTGCAGGTCTGTGAGCCACCCCTGCCGGTGCCCCTCTCTCTCTGGCAAGGGGGCCGGTGCCCCCACCTGGGGGGCAGCCCTGGGCCATGGCGCAGGGGTCAGCAGGCTTGGCAAGAAAACGCCTCTAGGCTCTCCTTTGCCAAGGGTGCTGGGAGAGGGGCTCTGAAGGAAAGACACAGACGTGATTCACCCCTTGACCCATGTTCTGGGAGGGCGTGTGGGGGACAGGGGGCAGGGGGCAGGATTCCGTGTAGGCTTCCCGTTCCACCTCCTCTTGGACAGAAGCCACGGTACAAAACGGTGATTCTACGAAACGCCTCTGCAGAAAACAGCGGCACTTCCTGTCCTTGGGTGCAGTTTAGGTATTAGTTGTTTTTAAAGGTGGTATGTGTTTTAAATTCTAAGTTTTAAAAAAATAATTGAAGAAGCTCATAGTCACAGAACAACCCAGATCTAACAGAGACTCACTTGCCAAACAAGAAGTGTAAAAAGGGGGTTCCTGCCACTCTGGGGCTGGGGAGTGAAGGGAGAGGAACACGGAACACATGTTGGAAGAAGTGTTAATTTTCCTCTCATCCCCCTGAGCAAGGCGGCAGCCTGTCTCCCTCCCTCCCTCCCTCTCTTTCTCTCTCCCTCTCAAGTGTAGGCTGCTGGGAAGGAGGGAAACGCTAATCTCCCTGCTAAGTTGAAAGCTCTGTTTGCTTAGTGCGATATTGAATTGGCCAAGGTAAACGAACCTGGATCTGGTCGGCGGGGACGTGGATGATGTGGGGCGGCCTGTCGCCATGGTGATGCACCGCGTTGCTCTCCTGCTCATAGATGGCATCGCGCTCCGGCTGAGGGAGGCTGAGGAACCTCCGGATCATGGAGAGGTTCTCCCACAGGGTCCTGTTTTCTGGAGAAGGGTCTTCTTTCCAGCGCAACAGCTCACACAACCACCCCTTAGAGACAAGGGAATAATAGGTCAGCTCATGTGGGGGACAGGCTGACAATTTCCATTAGGAGCTTAAAATGGAAAGACCCTGTGAAGTTAATGTTTTTCATAAGCTCAAAATACTCCAGTCTGCTTTAAACAATTCTGCTAGACCTCTGAGAAGAGCTGTGGTTGTCAGAAAGACAGGCTCTGTTTCCAATAAGCATCCAGACTCGCATCTTAAAAGAGGGTAATGTTTTTCAGACTCCAAAGGCAAGACAGTTACCCTTTGGGGTTCTGTGATACGTGAAACAGGAGTCTTGCCCAACTTTCTTGTCTCTTGAGCGGCCACCTGAGGTTCTGCGGGTGTTTAAGGAGAGCTAGGACAGACTCATAGAATACGTATTGAAAAAGGATTTCCTAAGTTTGGAATATGTGCAATAGAAAGGACATTAGGCATGGATATTTGTGTGTATGAAAGAAAGGAGGGATGAGTGCAGCTGTGTAGAATTTTGTCCACTACAGAAAGCAAAATGACTAGACTGGGCAATAGGAGAATTCTCGAGGAAGAACTTTCCAGAGGGAGAACTTGGGAGTTCTGCCCGTTGCCATATATACTTGTGATTTGTCAGGCGACCATTTTAAGGGATTTCCTGAGCAAAGAGAGTGAAAAACCAGGTTATCAAGAACCCAGTAGTCTAATGCAGTGCATTGTCCAACCTTTTCTAATCACCATCTCAGGCCTCCTTTATCTTGGCTGCCATGATGGATATTAAGGAATGGGGTGAAGAGAAAGGGGTATCCCTCCCAGACCCCGTTCACCAGCCAAGGCCACCACCCGCAGTGGCTGTGCTGCCTGCTTAGAGCCACACTCTTTTCCGGAGAAAGGTCTCGGAGGCATCTCACCTAGAGATGCCTGGACAGTCACTCCACTTCCTCCCTGGCTGACCCAGTGGTTCCCAGTCTCTGTACCTTCCATGTACTGCTGTTTTCCACAGAGGAATTTATTTTCTGGAGATGACCTTGTTTCCCCTTTACCTGTGACCCCTCACCAAATCACGGGCACCTGACTCCCCATCTCAGGTTCTGCTTTAGGGAACAAGGCCTAAGATACAGGGGCTACTTAAAAATTTTTAACTAAATTAGTTGGATGTGAATGAATCAAGTACATTTTCTTTATTTGATTTTTAGAACGAGCTAAGAAGAAGATATTCTTGTCTTTTGTTTTGCTGGTTTTTTTTTTTTTTTTGTGTGTGTGTGTGTGTGTGTGTTTAATGTTACCTTTGGAGTGAGAGTTGTATGTTTTTTTCCTCCTTTTTTTCTCAGCCTGAACCACTAGAGAAAATTCCCTTTCCAATTGCAGTAAACAGGGGGAAGAGGCAAGGCACACTCTCCCCAAAATGGCCTAGTTGAGAGATTGTAGAGAGAACTAAGGCATTAGCTTCCCAAGGCCCATCTCCTAACCAGCCAAGGGTGACGGCTGCTCACCACACAGGAGACCTACCAATTTTTCTGAGAGCTTTGATTCTCTACCCAACAGGTCTTTTAATTAAACAAATATGTACATGGGGACGGTCATGCAACCATGCACTCATTCAATGCCACCAAACACATAATTCAAGGCTAAAAGAGTAGGCAGTAAACTGAAGATGTGCCTAAGAGAATATTAGCTAAAAAAAAAAAGAATGCTGATTACAGTGTCATTGAACACGCTTCTCTTCTAACCTTGGCAATCCTATGTTTATTTCCAGAATAATATGATATGTCATATTTTAGCTCTATTTATGTTTGTACTTTATTGACTGGGAAACTATATTCCAGTATTTGAAATATTTGAGACCCTGGAGATGATTTAGCGCTTCCTAGCAAATATTTGCTATCTAGAGTAAGCCATGAAAATACTTTATATTTTCTAAGCTATTTCTTTACCTCTAAGTTTTGATGCTGTGACGGTTTTAGATATATCTTCCCATGAGTCTGAATATTAACTACTAGAGGCGCAGTGCATGAAATTCATGCACAGGTAGGATCCCAGCAGCTGCCAGTCAGGGCCTCCCTCCCTTTCCCTGGCTGGCCGGTCCCCTGGTCAAACTATTGGAAGAACTCTGGTTAAGGGGACAATTTGCATACTATTCTTCTATTATACAGGATTTACTTTCCTCCTCCTCCTGTCTCAATTCTTCAGCTATGGCAACTGACTCCCCCAACCCTATTCCTAAACACCACATATACTATAATTTTACTTATTTTTCAAGAGATGTTAGAAGGTTCATAAAGATGCTTTTTTTCTTTTCTAACTTACTAGTAGCTAGTCTTACATTATTGCGGAAAGTGCTCAACATTGAGATTCTAAGAATTAAAAAAAACCAAAAACACACTAATGCTTAAAACTAAAAATTGCTAAAAGTTAAATTAAGAACGATTCATGTAAAGAAAGCTTCTTGGAGAGAACCGAAAACTCCAATAATTTTCAAATCCTTTAGAAACTTTTTCACGCCGAGATCAGTTAGCACTTGGATATATATGGAAAAAAAACATGTGGATCACAGATGTTCTCTGGAAAAGAAAATCATTAGTTCTTTTAAAATGGCTAATAATGATAGCTAATTCCTAAACAATCACATTCACGCTGGTTCCACAAATATTTCAGAAAAAGAGCCCCGACTCATTCAACAAATATTTGCTCATATTGTCACTTGTGTGTCTCTATACTTTTGAGATAGATCCTTATTTTTATTAATTGCCTATGACTAACATAACATTTCCAGTAGTTTGCTATTAACCTCTGCCCTTAAATAATACTTCTAATTCCTTATCTAAGAATAATTTGATGAATTATAAGTTTGAAGCATGACTCTGCTAGCCTTTCAAGAAACACGGTCACTCAAAGAGATTGAAATCAGATGCTTCTTAGGAAAATATTTAACGGTACAGCTGGGAACTGTTAGCTCTACAAGGATATTCCAACAAAACAAAAAGGGGTTTCTTTCCTTGATGTGCGTATCTCTTAAAAAGTAATGGAAAACAGATATTCTGACACGCTAGTTCTCCGTCAGCAGAGAAAATAATTTGGCTCATCCCCAATTCACACTGGCAAAATAAGATGAATTTTTTCTAACGTTATTTCAATGCCTTGGAATATTCTGACCACCTCAGATTCTATGGATTGAGATTCTATTAACGATGACAGTAATCTAATCTAATCTTTTGCAGGAAGTGGCTAAAAAAAGCCAAATGCTTTCTAACCTTTTTTCTAGATCGCTTTTCCGTAAGTGATATTGTTAGAGCATATAAATTGGGAAAGAAAACGAACATGTCAGAATATTGGTAATATTCAGCAAATAAAAAAAATAATGATTCCCCTAAGTACTGTATAGGTTTTAAAATGATAAATGTATAGATTTTCTTGGTAGAGGAGTGATGAGGAACGAAATGCAGTGATAGGTTGCAAAATGTGAACATAATTACATTTTTTTGAGAGGTCTCTGAGACTTAAAATATTATAAGACCACAGGCTGGGGTAGGAAACTACTCTCAGAATTAAACTCAATGACAAAATTAAACTCAAAGAGTGGCAAAGAGAGAAGACGAAAGGCCTTCAAATAATGATATCAATCCATTCTCAGGAAACCAAAATGGCACAAGGAACCACCTAAACTTTAAATGTAGTAAATTTGCCAAGCAACATCACACTGCATATAAAGAGGGCAAAATATAAACAGTGGCCACATGTAAATAAATTAGTAAAACTTTCAGGATGTTACTACTTTTCAAACTGACGAAGTTTAATTTGACACCTTCTGTTCTAAACCCTTTGTTTCTATTCAAAATCACGCCTTGAGCTGTTGCTATCAATCACAGAGCTCTCCCTATTACTTAAAAAAAACAAAACTGGCATGGACCCTGAATAAGCTGAAAATGCCATGCAGATGAATTCTGAGATAATATGTTCAAACCTGTTATATACAACACAAATCCTGTAAAGTTATGTATTGTAAACCTACATTTATTGAGAACTAAAAGTCTTAAATCCATCTGCCACAAAGGAAATACTGTTATGTACTTTATAGTAACCAAGAACCATCTGTAAATGTCTAGCCACCGTAAGCAAGAAACTGGTGCAAAGGATGCTAATGCTAAGATTGGAGGAAATAGCATTCTTTTGACTGGAATTGGTTAGGGGCCTATTAAAGAAATCTAAAATCGAGGGGGGAGGGACAAGGAGAGAGAAAATGCAGAGTGACTGCCAAACCGGTACTGACAAAAAAGCAAAACAAACTCAATGATAACACAATGGCAATTTATTATGGCCCATAAAACACACGACTGTATGCTCATTTTAAAGGAAAAATTAGCAGTTCTAAACTCAATATTCTAATGATGTGCTTTACTGACAGAATCTTGTTGTGCCACATTTAAATAAAAATCCTGGCACCTTCCTCTCTCAGCTGCTAATTTCCACCCAAACTCAACCCCTGATTTCCACTCTTGTCAGAACAGTTAATTCAAGTCAATTCACTTCTTACATTTTAACGGGTAATGGGTGCATGATGATGTTCATGTAGTAAGGAGAGGAACCTCATTTCAGGAATGAATTTATTGTACCTATAGGGTCTCACACATAAACAGAGAAACCTTTCAAGGCCTGGCCTGTGATAAAGCTGGGAGCATGCAATACAGTTAGTTTTCCAAAGGAAAACAGACTTCCCATATTCTCTGAGGAAAAAAGTCCTATGTATATGTGCTCATTCTATACATATGCATTTTGAAGCCAAGAGCTTTAACAAGAGAAAGAAAATGACAAATAATTCTTGCTACAACTAAGAAGGAAAATACATTTTAAAAAACAGAATGGTAATTTGAGTTCTAAAAAGCAAAACATTTTATAGTCTGTATTTACCCACCTCCCCAACCCCCCATCTTTTATGTGTTATTTGCAGAGTTATTTCGTCCCAATCTCTCGGGCTCATCACATAACAATATATGATATGAAAAGAAATCAATCTAAATAGGGAGGTATTTGATACA